CACTCCAGTCTGGGTGACAGAGTGAGACTCCAACTCAAAAAAAAAAAAAAGACAGAGTTTCAGTTCTAGACCAGAGCCTCCTCCACCTGGAGCAGGAGTCTGCATTTTTCCACAGCTCCAAGAGGATACAAATGTAGCAATCTCCAGGTTCATGTTTGGAAACCACTGCTGCAGCAGCTGTCCAGTCTCCATCTCCTTTCCCTGAGACATATGTAAGTATCAGGCACAGCCTCCTCCCCTGTCTGTCTTTCTCCCCCAACAACTCCAGCCAGGCTGAGGAGGAAAGGGAGCAGCTGCTGGGAAAAGCAAGGCCTCCCACACAGCTGACTCGGAAAATATGGGACACGTGGGGCTGAGTCCTGCGCCATGCTCTCTGCCACCCAGGCTTTCACAGCCGGGCTTGAAGAGGCCCAAGGACAGAATTACAGATGGCTCTAGGAGCCAGACAGCCTGTGAAGCCAGCAGTTCTGCTGTGGGGCAGGATGGTGCTGGGAAAGCAGGAAGAGGGGAAAACAGCATTCGTTTATTTATCGGTACATTCAAAAAATGTTTATTGAGCCCTACATTTTTTTTTTTTTTGAGTCGAGTCTCGCTCTGTTATCCAGGCTGGAGTGCAGTGGCAGGATCATGGCTCACTGCAGCCTCGACTTCCTGGGTTTGGGCGATCCTTCTGCCTCAGTATCCCAAGTATCTGGGTCTAAAGGCACGTACCACCATGAGATGAGGTCTTTGCTATGTTGCCCAGATTGGTCTTGAACTCCTGGGCTCTGGCAATCCCCTTTGAATTGGCCTCTCAAAGTGCTGGGATTACATTAGCCACTGCTCCCAGCTGAGCCTTACTTTTTGTTGGACACTTCTGATGCTGGGTACTGAGCAGTGAACACACAGCCCATGGCCTGTCTTCATCCACCTACTATAATCACCAATATGCACAGAGCTCGTTCCCACTAGGAACGGCTCTAACTGCTCATAACACGTAAACTTGCCTAGTCCTTCCAACATCCTATGTAGGGGCATGTCCATTATATAGACAATTAAGTTGAGGCAAAGATAGATTGAGCAAACTTGACCAAGATCACAAAGCTAAGGACTTGAACCCAGAAAATCCAGCTCCTTTATGGCTCCACTATGCTGCTCACTGTGCAAGCTCTTCTCTCTGTGTGATCCTGGTAATCATCCATGCTGCAGATGGAGAACATTATGCTCAGAGAGTGTAATGGATAAGCCTACCACCAGAAGAGGGGAGGGGGGCTGCAATGGGACCTCCAGGTTGAACAGTGGGGTCTGTCTGTGTGGCTCATGTCTACAAAGATGGTGCCTCCCCAGCTACTTGGATCCTGCTGGGACCTCTGTCCCTTCCCAGGAATTATGACACATGGGGGAAGGATGTGAAAGCACAGATGTGGGAATGTTTGTGTCTCACCAGGCCACCAAAAGCCACTTTTTCTTCTTAAACTGTCCCCAGGATAAATCAAACCCAGATGGAGGGATGGAGCGGAAAGCTGAATTCAAAACAATGGTCACTAGGCCAAGAATAGGGGAACAGACTTGATTCTAGACACCCTTCCCAGGCCAGGCACGGTATGGTGGATGGAGAGTCAGGGTCAATCTTGCCCATAGCTCCTCACTAAGTCAGTCAACGTTTCTGAGCCTCGATTTCTTTTCTATAAAACTTTGAGGGTCTTGGGTTGAAGATACCAGGAAGACTTGTTGACGATTTCCCACCCTAGGACCTAGGAACAAGGCGGTAGGCCTAAGCCCCTGGGTCCCACACCCATGGCAGACTCTCCTCTTCACCTGGCTCTTTCTGGAGAGGCTGGGGGTGGGGGTGGGGGGCAGATGTGGCCTTTTGTGGCCCGCTGCTCCCAGTACCCCACCAGGGGGCAGCACGTGCTGCCTAGCCCTGCACCTGTCTTCCCATCCCCATCACTGAGGCCCTCACTCCAGCAGATAAGTAGCTGTGATCTGGGTGACAAAAGCCACCTTTGTTCCCACAAACTGGACTGGCAGGTTTCCACACCCAATCTGGCCTACCAGGAAATACTCCAATTCCTGGAACACCACACATCCCAGGCAGTCCAAGAAGTTGTGTGTGTAGGAGGGGGAGACGGGGTGGGTAAGGGGAGGGTTTGGAGAAAGGAAGAGAAGGGCCTGCACTTGGGCCCTGGACACACATGAGGCCTGTGGGGCCCACAGGTGGGAGAGATGCATGTCCGGAAAGGGACAACATGGAAGGTGGGTTTGTCACTAGGCTCTGGGAGGCAGGGGTCTGTGGAGGAGGGGGCTATTTGCCCAAGAAATACAGAAGGGTATAATGGAAGGAGTCCTGCTCTGGGGTCAGGTAGTCCTCATCTTAGCCCTGCTCAGCACTGACTTGCTTTGAGCCTTTGAGAGGGCTGCACATCCTCTCTGCACTTTGTGGACCACATCTGTTACCACAGCTGCAAACAGGGCATCCTATCCTAAAATGTCTGCCCTGTGGGTGTCCCTGCGAGGGCTAGGATCTAGGTCAAATACTTTGTAAACAGCTGAGCACTATACAAATGTGGGTGACTATTTACCCTTTTATCTCCCAACTGTAAAAGGCGGTTAGGCTTATTAATAAAGCCTTTTTCTGCTTTAATATTTCAATTTTCTCAGATTCTTAAGGACATGGGTATCAAGTGTAAAGCTGAGTGCTGGGCAGCACTCAGGACTATTGAGCTGCCAACACCTGATCATATTGTCCCACTATTACTGGTTCAAATGAAAACACCCTGTTAGGGCCCCTGCTACATAGGCATTAACCCTCTTTCTAGAAACAGCAACCCAGTGGCAGGCATGCTTCTCACATTCTCCAGGCGGCTCTATCAGAATTGCAAAGCTGCCTGGCCTAACCACTTGTTGGCCAATCAGAAGACACCTCCTGCCCTCATTCTGATGGGCTGTTACCAGTTATGGAGGGTCCAAGTTTCAGTTTCCATCCCTAAAATACAAAACTAAGACAAAAGCAGAGAGCTGGCAAGGCGGCAGAAGAAGGGAGTTGTGGGAGGGAGGGTATCTCTTCAGACATCATGGCGAGAAGCAATGTTTTTCTCAGAGTCCTGAGCCAAACCAGGAATCCTCAGGCAGGACAAGGGTCTTGTCTCTACGGCAACCGAGGCCTAGCTGGAGACAGAGAAGCCTCAACTCCAGAGGAGGGGGCCAGAGTGGCGACACCGGCCCTCCACTGCACAGTCCCCCCTCTCTCTTCCCTTTAGAAACCCCCTGCTTGTGTCTCTGAATAATTCACAGGATCTTTTGTTTCCCCCCAAACCTTTCTCTTCATCCCACTCCTCCCACCCTCCCTGGTTTTCCTTTTTCCGTGGGAAAGTTGCTGGAAGAGGTCATGGGCAGAGAGAGGAGGGGGAAGGGGCCCTGCAACGACAGAAGGTCGATGGCAATGCCAGACAAAGGGAATAAACACGCTAATTAAATGGCCAAGAAAGGCTGGAGGAGAAGATGGGAGTGGGGGTGAGGGTAGTGGTGGTAAGAGGTGAAAAGGAAAGGGCTGGAAGATCAAGAGGGGTAGGCAGGGCCTCCCTTGTCAGGAAAACAGAGGAGAGAGAGAGAGAGGGAGAGGGGGAGAGGGGGAGAGAAAGACAGAGAGAGAGAGAGAGAGAGAGAAGAAACTTGTTTCTATGGCCTTTTTTAAACTTCACTGCCCAGACCTCCACCCATTCTCTGTCTCTGATTTTATTGGTAAGCAGAGGGAATAAACAAGAGAGATAAAGCCACGAATTCCCTCACTGAAATCCAAAGCCACCTGGGTTCCTCTCCCTCAATGATGGCATGAGGTCACCTGGCATTTTTCAAGGGCACCAGAGACAAGGTCGGGTGATAGACCCAGCTCAGCTTTGACCCCAAAAACTATGTAGTGCATATTCAATAGATACCTGTTAACAATAACAATAGCAATAATAATAATAGCAGCTGATACTGACTGAACTCTTATGTGTCAAGAATTGTACTAAGTGAATATCTCAATTTATCCCCATGACAACCCTAGAAGGAAGATTCTATTACTGTCCCATTTTACAGATGAGGAAACTAAAGCCAGAGGATGCAAAACTTGCCCCAAGTGACAGAGTGAGAAACTTGGATTCAAGCCCAGGCAATGCTAGGTTCTGGAGGCCATGTTCTTATCCAGCATATGAACCTCTCTTCTCCATGCTAGCTATCACCACGGAACTCTGTTAGAGGCTTGCAGGATGCTGCTGTGTGACAGCATGGAGAAATCAAGCAGCGATGCAGTTAAGGTCTCCATTCCCTTCTCCTAAAGACCCTGGCCAGCTCAAAGGAAGTCATGAAAATTCCATACATCTAATTGGTATTTTACCTTTTATAAATTGCCTTTACATACATATAACGAGGAGCTGGGCTTTAGCCAAAAGAACAGGGGGCCAAAACCTGGGTTCCAACCCCTACTCTGTAACTCACGAGCTGTGTGGCCCCTCCTTGGAGAGTTAATTCTGAGCTAAGTGCCCCTGTCTAACACTTACATCACAGATTAAAGGAATGCAATAATGCCCATGAACGCATCTGGTAAACTGCCAAGAGGCAAATTCCCTTAGTGGAGGAGGTTTTCACAATGATGCCATGGGGTGGGTGAGGCCACGGGATTTTACAAAGATTGGGTCTTTGGACTCCCGGCCTGGTGTTCCTCACACTCTGTGGTGTACACTTTCTTCTTTCTCCTCCCAGTGGCAAACCTCTGTGTGCAGAGACCCAGCTAAGTATCAATAGCACCTGCTCTGGGCAGCCTGGATTTTTCACATGCAGGTGCCCAACCTGACTCTAAAGCCATTCTGACCATCTGGGGCTCAGGGGGTCCAGGCAGGGCCAGGACCCTCTGAAGAAAGAAAGACTGGGTAGCTGTGTGAGGCTGACAAGAAACCAAGGCTTCCAGGCAAAGGTTCCAGGCACCATTTGGATCTGGGTCACTTCAATTTTACGATCAGAAGGATCAAGAAGAACATAAAAAGGAATACATACAGGACTTACAATATCACCAGGTTGTCACAGGAGTACCTGAGTGCACAGAAAGTGCCCGGCACATAGTAAGTAGTCACTAAAAACAGGCTGCTTTTGCAATCTGGAGTCACCCCTCCAGCTTCCAGAGACTAGAGGAAAGGGACTAACCTTCATTTGGTACCTACTGAATACCAGGCATTGAGGTACATGTTTAGTAGGGGAGGAACATGGCAGAGTCAGAATCGGGGCTCTACTGTATCAGATTTCCTAAAGATTGAATCTTATTCTCTGCCAATGATTTGCCATGTGCCCTTGAACAAATGAACCTCTATTTTCTTCATCTGTAAAATGAGATAATGATGCCAACTTTACAGAGTTGTTGTAAAGACCCAGTAAGGTGATAAAGTCCTAAAATGACAACATAATGGGAGCTCAGTGAACGTTTTCACTTATTACTTAGTAAGCACAATCTACTTTAAGCCTCATGGTTACCCTAACAAGAGTGCCACTGCCAGCATTTACAAGTGAGGAAGTTGGGACTCTATGACGTTAGCGATCTGGCCCCGAATCACATAGTTACTAGAAAGCAAAGTCTCAACCAGAATCCAGATCTGTTGGCACCCAAAGCATCAGACCCTTCCTCACCCACCATGCTACTGCTGCCTTCATCTGAAGCCATGAGGAAGAGCTCAAGACCTGGTAGCCCCTCCTCACTCTCTGATCCAAAAGATGTGTTATAGCCTATCTCTGCAGTGAGTAAATACTCTGAGGCAGCCATGGAAGCACCTACCCAGAGGCAATCAGCACTCGAGACTGGGCAATGGCCAGTCGCTGAAGGTTGGTACGATTCAAGGTAGCCAGGGCCACCCTTCCAGTCTTGCCATTGGTTCCTGGGGGGCTGGCAGGAGAGCCTGCAGTTGCCCCAGCTGGCATGCTGGAAGCTTGTCGCCGGATCACCTGCGATGGGGCAGTCTTCACTGGGCCTCTGACGGCGCCCATGCCGTCCAATGGCTTGGGCCCAGGGCCTGGTGGCGGGGGCAGCTTGACCACTCCAGATGGGAGCATGTTTTTGCGGCTGGCAGGGGGCTGCAGGGGCCCAGTGCTGCCGTTGACCACGGCCGCCTTAACACTCACCACCAAGACACACTGGGGACAGGAGCAGGGAGGCGCGGGGGGCGAGGTGGCTGACCCAGGGCTGACTGGCCAGGACTGTGCCTTAGGCAAGGTGCCAGTGACCATGGGATAGATGATGTCGAGGCGCCGGCGGACGCGGCGTTGGCGCTGGGTCTGCCGGTTGATCTGGCCCATGGTGCTGAAGTCAATGACGTAGCTAAAGCCGATCGAAGTGAGGTCGATCCAGGGGTGTTGCTTCTCATAGGCATGTTGGATGGTGATGCCCACTTCCATGTCGTAGGGCGTCCAGGAGCCATTGTCGTTCTCCCACTCCCACACCACACCTTTCCCAGGGGCCGAGGACGGGTCATAGTAGTTGCGGCGAACTGGGCGGAGGGTCCCTGCCAGAGTGGGACAGAGGAGAGGTCAGGGTCAGCAAGCAATTACACTGTGTGGTGTGACATTAACCGACAAACATTAAACAAGTCCAACTGTGTGCTCGGCACTCCACTGCCTGTTGAAGCATTCAGCTTTGAATGAGACTCATCCCAGCCTTGAAGAAATCTCCAGCTCAACCAGGATAAAGGAAGATAGTGACAATATGAAGGATACGGGAGGCAGAGCAGGGTAGCAGAAAGATCACCAACTAGTTTGTAGTAGGGACCCCCTCAGTCAAATGCGCCCACTTACTAGCTAATATGAAATCTCTTAACCTCCTCCTTTTTCTCCTTTGGGAAACAGGATCATAATTCCTTCCTCAAGTTTTTGTAAAAGTTAAGTGTGGCTCATTCATTCAACAGATATGTATTTGTACATGCCAGGTACTAGATTTCACAAACTAAGGCATTAAAAACCCTTGGGACATAGTAGTTGCTCATAGAAATCATATTCCTTCACCTCTGTCCCTTGAAATGCTCCTGCTCCAAGGGTTATAGAGGAAAAGAATACAGGCCTGTGAAAGCCTTGGGAACAGAGAAAGGACTGTTTCCACTTGGGAAGCCTTCTCAGAGGTGGTGGCGATAGAGCTGGCTCTCTGTTCATTTATGGATGAGAAAAATAAATAGATAAGTGGCATGCTACGTGCTACCATGAAGAAAGGAAATCAGGTTCGGAGAACTCTCTCGTATTTCCCAACATTAAATCTTACATAAACAAAAATTCTTAAGCATCATGAAAATAATTTTATATTTATCTAACAGTTTTTTTCAGTAATCTTAAACCCTTCTAAAGATAGGGTGGGCTTAAATGTGGCAGTCTCACTGGGAGGGGGGCAAGGGAGAGGCCAGGGCTATTAAAGGGCAAGGGTCCAGTAGAAATGAACTGGCAGGACTGCCAACATCAAGGCTACAGAAGCCTGGCTCAAGGAAGGGTGGGGAGGCTGGGGAGATTCTAAGGATGCTGGAATCTCTGCATCTGTCAACTTAATCTCTATCCATCCAAGTGGTGGGAAAAGGCTCCCCTTCACTGGCCTCTGACCCACCCCCTCCTTCAACCCAGAGGGAGACACCAAGACTCGGGACAGAATCCCATTCAAGGGGGAAGAAAAGGAACAATGGCTATTCAGGCCTTTGCCAGGGTCATAACCCGCCCCCCACCCCATCTCCAAGCCCCTTAATGACCCAAAACATCAACATTCAGAGGCACGAGGGAGAAGCAGAACAATCCCCTATTCATCCCCAGGGCCTCTGGTGAGGGGCATGGGGGTATGGGGGGAGGGGAATAGCTTCCCAGTTTGCCTCCATTTCCCTTCTGGGGAACAAAGAGTATGGGGTTTGGGGCCAACAGGGGTGGTTCTGTGCCTTCCAGCTGTGTGATTAAGCCTCAGTTTCCTCATCTGTTTGGGTCCTGGGTAGCTACTTCAAAGGGTGAATTTGAGGATTAAATGAATATACAACTCTAAAATAGCACCTGCCACCATGACAAGAGTGCAATGAAAGTCGGTGATTATTATTGTAATTTGTTTTCTGTTATATGTCTAAGCAGTATGGAGAAGTCAAGGGAAAGTTTAGTTGAGGGGATGAGAGTGTGAAAAACAGAGTGGAAGGGAGGAAGGAAAGGAAGGAGGAGGAAGGAGGGAGGAAGTTTCTATATAAGTTGATATTTACCCAGGCTTTATTACTTAGAAAGTACCTCGCATATCCCATGTAACCTTCATGCAACCCTAGAAACACATATTTTTTTGGTTGGATTTAGAGTGTATAATATTCAGTGGTCTATAACAGAAACAAAGAATGGAGTATCACATGTTCTCACTCATAAGCAGACCCTGAGTATTAATCATAATACTATAAGGAAGAGATTGGCAGTAGCAGGACATTGCTGGGGTTGGGGGTGGGGGTGGCGGAACATAACAAGGGTACTTGATCTCAAACCAGGCGAAGTGGGGACCAAAGAAAGGCCCAAACTTTACCTAATTACATACCTAATTCTGAACTGTACCCCACATCTTAAAAAAATAAATAGGCCAAATGTTTCACAAATAAAAACCTTTTATAGATAAGAAAATTAAGTTCAGAGAGTTTAAATGGCATTATCTTATATTTTCTCCAGAGTAGCAGGGACAATGCACTTCACCAATTCTTCCAAAAGGCACTTTATTATTATTTTTCATAGGCGTGTTAATCCTAGACATGAATTTCTGGAAACTGTCCCATGGCTCTATAACATACCTTTGCAGGTTTATCTTCCTCTATCCCACATGTTTTCTTCTATTCCTGCCAAACAGAGGACTCCTTTATCCTCAGGCATTACCGCAGTTTCCCGACTTCTCCCCTACAAACAGTTCACCAGATCCCTTCTATTGATATGCCCTCCCTTGTCATTTTCACCTGTTGGAATTCTCCTGATCATTCATGGATTCATGCCATTTGCCATCCATTTCTTACTTGAGGTGTATATCTTGGCTACGACTCCCCAAAGTGCACCAGTATTCATTCTGGCCCTTTTCATATCATGGCACCTTAAGTAGGGGCAGGGGTCCGCTCCGTAGATCTTTCCGTTTCAGTGTCTCATGCAGTGTCCGGCGGTGGCAAGGGCGCTATAAACTGTGGTGTGACTGGTTGAAGACCGCTGGCTACTTTCATGTGATCGTTTATCACTGAACACCCATGAGCCACTATGAGGAAGGCAAAGATTCAAGCATTCCTCAAGTGGCTTACAGTCTAAAACAGGGTTAGAAGACAAGTGTGCAAATGACTATGAGGCAGAATGTGTCACACGAAGGATGCCAACAGAATGTGTGTTGGCAGGAAACCTGCTTAGATCCCTTCCATGACTCTTCCTTAGGTCGGGACCCAAATCCTCTGCACCCATCAACCTCTGTGGCCTCTTCATGCCCTATCACACTCTGCCCCACATTTCAGCTACATTGGCCTTTAATCTCTCCCCACTGCCAGGTTTCTCTGATTCTGGGCGTCTTCACAATGCTGGTCCCTCCCCCACAACACTCTGGCATCCTCTTTGCTGCTCATGCAGCAGATTAAAGCTCATTTCCTCAAGAAAGTCTCTCTAGAGTGCCCTGACCAGGTCATTTAAAAATAATATAGCACTCATCTCAATATGCAGTTGCACATTTATTTGTGTGACTAATTTGATGAATATCTGTCTCTCTCAGTCCCAGTCCCCTTGAGAGCAAGCAACAAGGTGTTTTGCTTGCTCAGGGTTGTATCCCCTATGCTTGGCATGTCCTAAGGTCCCCAAAAATATTGATTAAATAAATTAAGGAATGACAGTTTGGAGAGTATTTCAAGGTTTGGAGAATGTTTCAAGAAATGGATGAAAAATGACATAGAATCTGAATAACAAGGAGAATTTCAATAGGGAAAAAACGGCAAGGGACTGCATTTCCAAAGAAAGGATACCGTATGAATACTTGGTGGGGGACTGGATGTCAGCGAACTCTGAGGTAATGCATGAGGATAAAAGTGGTCTCTGTTTGGCAGGAATAGAGAAAAATATAAGGCATGGAAGAAGATAATCCAGGAAAGCTATGTTAGAGCTAGAACATAGAAGATCTGGAATGCAAAGTTGTGATGGATTTAATTTGTAGGCAGTAAGGAGTCAGTGAAGTTTGTTAAGCAAAGAATGACAAAGCCAGAGTTGCCCTGTTAATTAGTTCCAGGTGAGTAAAAGGATGTTTGCAGGAAAAATGAAAAGGAGGTGACAGACTAGAGAGAGGGAAAGGAGATGAGAAAAATGGGAAAGGAGATGAGTAGCTGAACGCTTTCCAAGTGAGGTTCCAGGGCCACTCCCTTCAGAATTTCCTAGGGTATGGCTCAGCAATAACCTAGAGACCTAGGGGTGAGTACCTCCAGGGTCTAGGCCCAGGAATCTGCATGTGAATCACCACCCTGAGTTTTTACCATGCACACTCAAGTTTCAACTGTTGAGTCACATGGTGTACATATTAGGCACCGAAATAAAACTCTGAGTCACAAAATGAGTCTAAGAATCATTGGAAGGTGGGAAAATGCCATTACCATTAACAGGCAGAGGAGTGTCAAGAGGAAGTTCCTAGAGGGAAAGTTGCTGAGTTCAGTTAAGCCCTACAAGGAAGTCAGAGACAGTAAACAGACCTCAGGACCAAAGTTTTGAGTCAAGAGAGATGGTGGGAGTCCATTCTCTGATTATTTCAGAGACCACTGTACCTGGAATGTGCTATTCATGGGCTTTTCTAGAATCAGGACCACAAACTAGATCATCAGTGTGACAACGCAAGGAAAAGGTCTCTAGTATGATAAGAATAGAGGATGTTCAAAAACTAAGGAGAAAAAGTGAGAAAGAAAATTTTCCCAGTAATTCAAACATGAGTATTCCAAAGCACTCAAGGTGTTTTAGCCCCTGGGAAATGGGAGGCAATGCCTCCAGACATGACCTGAGGTCTCTAGGGCATGTCACATCTATGCACATAATTCACTGTTGTTAGAGTATGCACAGTATCCAGAATGTTCCAGGGGGACAAAGATTTGGATGTTCTATATTGCTATATCCCACATGTCTGGAACAGGGCTTGTACTAAGCAGTTGCTTCAAAACCAAAGAATTGGGACATGGGGCACTAGACTCAGAATCTCAGCTCTGCCACTGACTAGCTCTAAACTCTTGGGCAACTTAATCTCTTCCAACTCATTTCCTTCCCTATAAAATGGGGGTAACAATAGATTCTTCACAAGATTGTTGTGAGGATTAAACAAGATAGTTGTGCAATATTCTTGGCACGATGCAGACACATCACATGGTATATTTTGCACACTGGAACTATCATGCAGGCACCATGATGTTGCCTCCTCCACTCCTGTGCTCACAGAGGGTAGGGGGTGTTACGAAGCGGTCAGCTTCTGTCAAATCCTTTAATTAAATTCATACTCTCTCACTCCATCTGAAACTTCTCACCTCATTAAAAACATACAGGAGGTGAAACTTGCACAGAAAACTGAGCACGAAAAGAACTCTCTCTCCTGTTAGCATCATGACTGGTGCAGGGGCCAAACCCATTCTCCTGCCCATCTGCCTGATGGGTCCTCTTCATTCTACAGAGGAAAATGAGGCCTGAGTAGTTAAGGGACTCTCTCAAGGTCACATCGTAAGCAGTGACTCTGAAATGAGAGCCTGGGTCTTCCTCATCCTGCTCCCGGGACCCTGGAGATGGCAGCGATCAGGTGTGCTGGAAGATACAGGGGAAAGTGACATTGAAGTAAAGCTTTCCACTAATTTCCCTGCCACAGAAAAAGGTCAGTCAAGGTAAACGATGGCAAGAATCTCACGAAGGCTTTTAGAAGTGGCCAAGACCCAGTTTCCTCCATCTCATCTCATCTCTTTACTTCTTCCAGATTCTCTAGCCCAAATTGCCCAGAGGATACTGGCATGGAATGTAAATGAGGTCAGGCCCCTAGGTGGTCGCGGGGAAGCAGAAGAGCCCAGGGCAAACAGAGGCAGGCGGAAGGGTGTCTGCATCCTTCCAGCCATCTCCCTGGAGACAGGCTGGATGAGGTCAGGAGCCCAGAGGAGTGGAGACTGGGGACTCACTCAGCAGTGGGGCCTGCAACTTCTGAAAAGACAAAGCTTCCATGTCAGGAAATGTTCCCATACAGAAGAGGCAAGAAAAAAAGAGAGGACTAGCCTCTGGGCAGGGGACTTCCAGCTCTCTTGTTTATGGGGATGTTTCTGGTTCCCAGCTTTAAATTGTGGCTTGAGGATGGTGGGTAATTTAATTAAACATTGCAGGGGCTTGGCTGAGGTTGCCTGGGAGCCACTGGTTTAAAGTTCTACCCTGTTAGGGTCTCATCAATGAGCTATACTGAGAGGAACTGTGTGTGTGTGTGTGTGTGTGTGTGTGTGTGTGTGTATGTGTGTGTGTGTGTGTGTGTGTGTGTGTGTGTGTGTGTTCGTGCCCTTAGGCACACACGCATGTGTGTTGGTTGAGAAGGGAGAGGAGGGGGCGTGGTGCCCAGAGTTCTGGGGTATTCAGCTGAATGCCTGTAGTACTCAGCATAGGGCCTGATACGGAGGAGAGAGGTGCTCAGTATGGGTGACCAACTGGCTATAGCAATGAGTGGATGGAACCAAAGCGGTCTGGATATTTGTAAATACACACACACACACACACACACACACACACACACACACACACTGGGGCAGTCTCTGTCTCTAGTCTAAAATCCAAGGAGCCCCATCCACTGACTAAACTGCTAGTCAACCGGTCCTCAGATAAGAGTGATCAGACCTGGGGGGAAGTCGCTTCTGTCCTTCCATCCAATTTTCTCTACAACGGTCCTTTAGGTCATGACCCCTCCCTGCCCATCCAAAGTATCCCTAAGCACGAATTCAACCTTTGCCCTTCCCAAAGGTGCGACAGAGGCTGAGACCTTTATATCATGAGGGTGGGTCTCCATAGGCTGTAGAGATTTGGTCTGCAATAGACAAAGCCAGCAACTGTCTTGTTTTGTTTTTTAATCATGAGCAGGACTGGAAGGCACCCTTTAACTGTCAGGTGCCTTAAACCACTGGGCAGTGGGGTGGTTCTGGTCCCACCTCCAAGGCTCAGCTGCCCCCTCACACACACCCTTCCCCCACAACCTGAGCCTCCACCCTCACTTCCACAATCTCTACCCAAGTTGCACAATGACACTCTCTCCCTCGCCCTCAGCCACACTTAATCCTTTCTCAATCTCCCCACATTTTTCTTTATTCTCTCCTCCTCCAAGTTTCCCTCAGCTCCACTTCCCTCCCTTCTCCACCAAGGTTTAAGGCCCTCTAGATTCTAACACTTCTGGAATCCTTTCTCCAGAAAGTTTTGCTCAATGGACCACTGTCAGTAGAGTCCTTGGCAAGCGGATGTTGGGAGTTATGACTAAAGATGGGAACATGAGAGTGGAAAGATACCCCTTTCCCATGACAATCCTAATTAGCACACAGGATGGGGGGGGCTTTCCAAGGAAGCTGAGAAGCCCTGCTCAAACAGCTGTTCTGCTGGCGCAGGGCCTCCGCTAGCCATCTTCTCCACTCCCTCCCCACCACACCTGCCTCTCCAGGATCCCCATTACTCTCCTGGGAAAGCCCAGCCCGAATTCCAGAAGCAACAGGCCCCCTCCCCATCCCAGTCACTGAGGAGATGACTGGGGAGGCTTATCCTAAGTCATCAATTAAACACGGACACACAGGAAACAGCAAAGAAGTGCAGCTCTTCCCTCTCCCTCCCTCGGACACCCCCCCCCCAATCTCCCTTCCCTGTTCTAACCTGGAAAGGCAGGTCGGCTGGGAAGTGGGTTGTGGTGGCCATAGCGGCAACTTGATTCTCATGAAAAGACAAGAGTTTAGCGGTGTGGGAGGCCAGTGTCCCTCATAGGCTACGGTTTCAGGAGGAAGCTTGGGGACAGTTTCTCCTTAGGAATCTGCTCCCTCCTCCTCCTCCTCCACGGACAAAGGGAGCGGCTTCCCTGCCAGGCATTCCGGAGCCCCGACCCTCCCCCTCCTCTCTCCATCTGCTCTGGCCTGTTGCTTCAGCACTTGGGAGTGCACAGCAGAGGCGTTCGCAAACGCCACCGCATCCAGGGTGTTTCATGCCCTGGAATCCCCCAACTCCAGTCTCTCCCGCAGGGGACGCCCGGCGCTTCCCTCAGCCAACTACAGCGAGCGTCTCCGGGGAATCCCTTCTTCCTCCCCCGGTTCCCACACCCAGGACCCAGCTGGGGGAAGGCATCCCACACAGGAGGGGCAGAGGCAGTAAGGTCAGGGTTGAGGGGGATTTACGGCAGGCCCCAGGGATGCCTGAAAGGCAAAGCAGGATTAGCCAAGGTGTGAGCAACCACGAGGTGAGGTCAGGAAGCTTTTGAGAGGGGCTGGGGTTGCTCGCGGGCTGGGGCGGCCTCAGAATGTCTACGTGATAGGACTTAGGCCCACCAAGCCCTGAAAAGAGGACGCGAAGAAAAGGGGGTGCTCATCGGCTAGCTGGAAGCTTGGCTTGCATAACTGGAGCACTGATACTACCTGCTTGGACGTTTATGGGGGAAGGAGGCTCCTAAGAGGGTCGAGGGGAGCAAAGCGCCTCCCTCTACCTTCTCTTGGAGACACCGCCACACGCAGGTGCCGACTGGGTGGGCCACGGTGGGCTCGCGAGGCAGCTGGTCCCGGCATGCCGGGAGGCGGGCGCGAGCGGGCGGGGCGGGGGCGGCCGGCTCACCGGTGTCTTGGCGGAACTGGTTCATGGACTGCAGGTCGATGATGTAGGGCGCGAGACGGCTGTC